TCAGCATCCCCCCTTAGCCCACATCCCAGTGGCCTCAAGGATCTGCTGGAAGGAGTCCCTGGGGAGCCTTGCTCAGCAATGGCCCTGGGGGTTACTTAATGCTCCCAGGGACTGCAGGTTTTTCAAAGAACTTTGGGTTTGGCTTTTGCCTTGGAGTCTCTGAGAGCTTTGTGCAATCATGGCCTCCAATTATCTGCTATAATTAGTCCCTGGAGAGCTTTTGTCAGGAACAACATTCAGTGGGGCTTATTAATGCTTCAAGGTACTTCAGTTATTTTAAGGTACTTGGTGTTTCCCTTTTGATTCAGACTTTGTGAGATGTTTGTTCAATCATGGCCCCAATTATCTGCTTTAACGAGTCGCTTGAGAGCTTTGTACTGACACTCAGTTTGGCTCATTAATGCCTTGAGATACTCCAGGTTTTAAGGTACTTTATGGATTTAAGAATACTTTTAGTACTTTTAAGAATTTTCCTGAGTCTCTGAGAGATTTTGTTTCATCCTGGCTTCCAATTCTTTCTTCCAAGGAGTCCCTGAGGAGCCTGTGTTGGGTATCTTCCCCCTTTGTGTTTTACAGCAAAGATGGAACTGAAAGAATTTTAAAAGACTTTCTAAAAGCATCCAAACAAACATGGGACAATTCACAATGCAAAAACAACCACTAAGAGAATTAATAGTCTACTTTTAGCTAGATATCATCCAAGCCTTTAGTCCCTTGGATTCGAGGAGTTTATTGAACCAGTCTTTGTTTTCCACTTGAAGCTTCTTGAATCCTTCCATCAGTACTTGAATGCTCTTGTGGATTGACTCGCTGTGGATGGAGAGGTTCATGCAACACATCCCTCAGAGTCTACACAGCCATGCCCATGTGCCCAGAGTAAAAACTCTATCGCTGTTCTGCAAGGTGGCATGTCTGATGGTCTCTATTTCCAAGAGCAGGCTACTCAATGTGAGGGAGGTAGCATTGGTTTGCTTACTTAACAGGCACTCAAGATGGTCTAATGGTCCCAAAGCTTTAGCTGCAGTGTCATGGTTTGAGCCTGGCACAGAGCCAGTGCCCCCCATGAAAATGCCCTCACCCTGGTGTCTGCTGTGAGATGTGACCAGGAATAAGCAAAACAGGCTTTAGCTTAAACATAAAGAACACTTTATTACCTAAACTACAGNTGTCAGGCTCTGGGGTGGATCCTGTGGAACATCCTTTGGTGGAGGCTGTGGCTCCAGGTGGGCCGGGAGGATTCCAGGGGACAGGGACCCTACTGAGCATGAACAGCATTGGACTTGTTGGGGGAAACTGTGAGGGGGAGCTGGGGCAGAGTGACCAACCCAGTGACCTGACACAGCCCTGCCGGGATGTCACACAGACCCTCTGTGAAATCACAGAGCTGGCTGTGATATCACAGCCCAGTCTCTAATGCCACACAACTGGTCTCTGATGTTACAGCCAAATCTGTGCTGTCATAGTCTGCTGTGTGATGTCCGACATCTGCCCTGTGATATCACAGCTGGCTCTGTGATGTCACAGAGGCAGTCTATTATGTCATAGCTCTCACTGACCCCACATAATCCACTCTGTGATGTCACAGCCCACTCTGTGACCTCATGTTATGAGATGATAAATTGTCTACACCAGGTGAGCTGACACCTGGAGCTTGTTCTCCACAACACCAGGCCTGTGGAAACCACACAGTGCCCATTGTGGGAGAAGGGGAACTGGAAGTTCAGCAGCCTCAGTGTCCTGCTAGCTCAGCCAGGGCCACTGGAACATTGGGGTCCACGACCACCAGGGACCACCAAAGAGCTCCTCTGGGAGAACAGTGGAGGGGAAATACATTAATCATTTGGGGAAAATGATTATCAGATGTATATTTAGTCAGGAACAATCAATGAATATGTATGCAAAGTACAGAATACAAACAGAAATTTTCCTGCTCTCAGCCTGCAGGGCTTTGGGACGAGCTGTCCCCCGTGCATCCCCCTGAATAAATAATACTGCTTTTTAATGCTGCATTGGTGTGAAGGAGTTTTCTATTTTACTGAATTTTTGGTAACACTCGAACTGCCAAGGAAAGCTCTGTCTGCTGCTGTTCACAAACAGAGAAGGGCTGGTGGCAGATGTGGGGCTCGGAGGCTGCCTGGGGCACAGTGACCATGAAATAATCAAGTTTTCAATGTTCTGTGAAAGAAGTAGAGGCAGCAACAAAACTTCTGCACTGGAATTAGGAAGGGCAGACTTTGGCCTATTTAGGATGCAGATTTGGGGAGTACTGAATCAGGTACTGATTCTTTTAAAGAGAAACAGCCCTTAAAATCAAATGGGGTTCAGGAAGGACCGACACATTTCAAGAAAATAATTTTAAAGGGGAAGGAGCAGCCTGTACGAGGGAGCCAAAATATGATCTAGTGAGGAAAATGACTGGCCTGGCTGCCCATGGAGCTTTTGTGGGAACTCAGGAGAAAAAAGGACTGGCAATGCAGGAAGTATTTAAGGATGTGCTAAGATTATCTGAAAGAAAATTAAGAGAGGCGAAAGCTCAATGAGAACTTAAACTGGCCCATTCTTTTAAAAAAAAAAAAAGTTTCTGGAAAAAAATATAAAGCAAAAGGAGGGATAAGGAGAA